TAGTAAGCGCTGAGAATAGCTATGTCTTTTGTTGGTAGTGCACCTGATACTTAACATGTGCTGGGTACTATGCTAAATTAAAAAAAAAAACGAATTGATTTGAGAGAGGAAGGGAGAGAGAGATGGAGAGACAGACATCGATTTGTTGTTCTGCCTATTTCCGCATTTCTTGGTTGATTTCTTGTATGTGCCCTGACTGGGGAATCAAACCTGCAACCTTGGCATATTGGGACAGTGCTCTAACCAACTGAGTTATCTGTCCAGGACCATGCTAAATACTTTTAATGTCAATTGTTGTTTAATCCTCAAAATCCTGTGAGGCAGGTCTAATTTTAATTCTTCATTTTTAGATGAGGGAAGTGAGATTTGGCTAACTTGCTGAAGTTTACAGGGGAAATAAGTTTGGGACAATTTTCAAACCCAGCTTAATATTATATTACCTTCCCTTAATACTATATTATACTCTGCTATAATGTTCTCACGTGGGGCTTACATTTTTTCTACGGGGCGGGCAACATTAATCTGCTCATATGTGTGTACAGCACAAGCCATTTTATCTGGTAGCTGAAAAACTGAGCCACAGTAGGGAATCATAAATGACAATGAACAGTTTTTTTTAAAGCTTAAAATATTAACCTATATTAACTTGATAATACAGTATTTTGATTTGTTTTTACAAATTTCGGTTTCAGACTTTCTGAAAGTAAGGTAAAATTTTATTTTTTAAAGAAGATTTTATTCTTAGAAAGGGAGAGTAATGTCAGTGTGTGGGTGACTCTTGAGCACCCCCTACTGGGAACCTGTCCCACAGCCCGGGCATGTGCCCTGCCTAGAACCGAACATGCCACCCTTTGATCTGAGCACTGGTCGTCAATCCACTGAACCACACTGGCCAGGGCAAGAATCTACTTTCTTTGATCATTGGTTAAATTACCAGCCATCATTACCTAAAAGATAGAGCATAAGTAAGGATATGAAATAATACCAATAATAATAATAATAAAACAAATAATACAAAAATAATACAAAAATAAACTTTTTTCCTTCCTATATATGGTAGAAAAGTAGAAAATAGATCATCAGAGATAAAAGGGATAGTCACTAATAAGAATTTTTCCTAAAACAATAAATTGCTTAAAAAAACTTTAAACCTTTTGACTCAGTTATATTTCATCTTTGGGAATCCTAAGTAATATTAACAAATTTGGAAAAAGCTTTATGTACAAAATGTATTTCAAAAAGTTGGAAAGGAACAAATTTTCATCTTATAAAAAGCATTAAGTATGTAAAGTACTTAGCACAGTGTCAGGTACATGGTAAGTGTTTAATAAATGTCACTTAAGAGGTTTGGTTTCTAAAGAAGAAAGGCAGAGTTGACTGAGACTAAGTTAAGAGTACCAGTTTTAATTGAAATCATAAGAGCATCTTTATGTCAAATTTTCAGCCTTGATTTGTTCAAAACTCTGTGGTATCCTAGAATATTTTTTATTTTATTTATTAATATTTTATTTATTTATTTTTAGAGAGAGAGGAAGGAAAGGAGAGGGACAGAAACATCAGTGTGTGGTTGCCTCTCATGTACTGTGCACTGGGGACCTGGCCTGCAACCCAGGCATGTGCCCTGACTAGGAATCCAAGCGGTGACTGATTCACAGGCCCACGCTCAATCCACTGAGCTACACCAGCCAGGGCCTAGAATATTTTTCTGATACAGGGTTTATAGTAATTAGGGGGCTCCTGAAGCTGTCAGTTGTGGATAAATAAAATCTGAAAATGATCAATTTAATATTGCTATGTAGATTCCAAAAATGAAGCCTAAAGATGGAAACAAATTCTTTGTATAGGTAGTATATATCACAAAATTCTAAAGATACACAGAATGTTACATTAAAAGGTTAAATCTTTTCTCTATTCTTGCACCTCAGCCATCTCTAACAATTAGTGTTACCAGTTTGTTGTATATCCTTCTAAAAGTATCATGTATATGCAAGTGTACAAGAATGTGAGTACTTTATACAAAGATAGTATACTTTACATGTTCTGCAGTTTTCTTTTTTAATTTTTTTGAACTTTTTTTCACATCAGTATATAGCACCATCTCATACAATTTGTTGGGTACATATGTATAGATATGTGTTCATTTAACAAGTCTCATATTGATTGATGGACATTGTGGTTGTTTCTGGTCATCTTCTAGTACAGATTGATTCAGGAAATATCCAACATGCTATTTCAGATGTGTTGGGTTCTGGAACTAGTGGTACCTTATTTATTGAAGGTCTGTGCCTCATAAGGACTCTATTAATGAAGATTTCCTTCTTGCCCTTTATTATGAATGATATTTTTGGAGTGTCGAACCCAATCCCTGGAGGATACAGTTTAATGGAAATTGTTATTAATAACATGGGAAATGTACAGTGTTGCCAAACAAGCTTCTCCTGGTATTTTGCACTATATGGATCTTAATTTAGAGAGGTGGGTAAATGAATAGGTTTAACTTACTTCTTTTAAGGGTCTGCCCTTGAATAAGGTAGCCAGAATAAAACGGGCAGGCATAGTAATGGTAGGATATCTTGAGAGTGTTCTAGAAATAATGGAAATTCCTCTAACCTTTCACTTTACTTGGCAGTATGGTATTTACTGAGTTTGATTAGTAAGAAAAGTCTTTTGGGGAAAGAAGCCTCCAACTGACATTTTAATAGGATGGAAGCTTAATTCTAAATTAGATTACTAGTTTAGAATGAGATTTAGTATTGTTGCTAGGAGCAGAGGATAATAACAAAGAACAGCTTACAAATTGTTTTCACTTACCTTTATTCTCACAGCAAGCTTGTTAGATATTACTGCTGTTTGCATTTGACAGATGAGAAAACTGAGGCTTGAAAAGGTTAAATAACTAGATGCCTAGATCACAAAAGGTTAAATAACTAGATGCCTTGGTGAGTGACAGAGCCAGGATTCAGATCTTTCTAATTTGACCAGCCTGAAATATGAAGTTTCATTGTATCCAGTGTCTCCTCCCCTCCTTTTGTAGGCCATATAAACAGAATCAGCAATAATTAACATCAAGAGCTATCACCTGTTATCAACACCCTGTCAGCCATATCAGCAGTTTCCTTTTCTTGAAATTCACAATGAGAAGTTTACCATTTCCTCAGTTATGACTGAGTTTTAGTAAGTTACCATAGAATCAGGGCTCTAGCCCTCCTTTTTCTGTTAATCCCTATTTGGCATGCACCCTTTTTTTTCCCATCTCTTATATGGGCAGGTTGGTGGTAAAGTGAGAGGCTTAAACATTAGTTAAGAAATATGTATATAGATTCAGTGGAGATATGTTAGCCTAATAACAGTGTAGAAAAAATTGTGAAAAAAGTGTTCCAGTAATTGACCAGGGTTTAGGACTGGGATCTCCCACAAGATCTTGAAAGGTCTGAAAAAGGTGGGAGGTTTAGGAATAGGATAGTAACTTTTTAAAAAAGTGTATTATTATGGTATTAGGGGAACTTGAATATTAGGCAGCTCAAATACCGGCCAGTTTCTGATACAAATTTTATGGCTCTTAACCCCCAATTTTTCATTGGAGATACACAACATTCTTTTCTATCTTCCCAGCTTTGTAGTGGTTTACTTCAGAACAACAATTCTTGGGAGGCCCAAGATATCTTACTTTGCTGTGATTCTTCTATAATTTTATATTTTTAAGATTGTATTTAATTTAAATAGAGGGAGGAAAAGTAACATCCTTGTGTGGTTGCCTTTCACGCGCCCCCTACAGGGGACCTGGCTCATGTGCTCTGGGAATCAGATCAGCGACCGTTTGGTTTTCAGGCCGGTACTCAATCAACTAGAGCGAATAATTTTAAATGATTTTTTTGCCCCCGACCCTCACGTGGAATACTGGTGTTGATAAAATAATGGGGCATTGGAAATAATGTTTGCTGCATGTGTGCTCTGTCCTACTCTCTATTTATTAACTCATAATCCTAGGACATCCTGAGGATTGGTACCATTTTGTAGATGAGAACTTAGGCTAGCTATACCACGCATTAGTCTAGTTAGGGAGTGAAGACATGCACCTACAGGTATATAACATGAAACAGGGTAAATGTTTACAGTGTCAAAGCCAAGACTGGGTGGTGAGGGTGGCTCTGTGAGGCAAAAACCAGCGTTTGCTGGACCACAGGCGTACTACCATGTGCTTGCCTGTGCCGCAGACTGGCGTCTAGTTGTGAAACCTTGGGGCTGCCAGTGCAGTAAGGATTCCGGTCTACACTGCGGGGAAGGAGGTAGAAGGCGGACTTTTCCTGGTGGAAAGCTGGCCCCCGGTGCTCTTCATTTAAGGAAGTTGGCTGGGGGAGGGGGCTTGCCCTGCGGCTGCGTCCTGCTCCCCCCCCCCCCCCCCCACTGGCCTCTGCTGCCTCTAAAGCCCGGAGAGCGGAGCGTGCACATTGTGATTCCTCGGAGGACCTGGCAGCAGCTGCTGGGCATGCTCAGTGGGCAGGACCCGTTAGAGTGGCGAGTAAGGAAGCGTTGGCTCCTCTCCGTGTCTGCTTTCCCGGGTTCAGGCCCCGGCCCTGGGCTTTTGTGTGCGCGGAGCTGCGGCCGCCGCCGCCACCGCCTCGCGGGGCCGCCCGACCCCAGATGCCGTCTGGCCTGTCCGGTTTCCGCCTTTAACCTCGCCGCGCGGCCGGAGGAGGGGCGGGGCGGGGCCAACAGGCCGGCGGCCGGGGCGGGCAGCAGGGCCCGGCCCGGGGTGGGGGTGGGTGCTGGGAGTCCCGTGGGGGGTGGGGGGAGGGGGCGGGCGCGGAGTCACGGGGGTGGGGTCACCGGCGGTGGCTCCGGGAGGCCGGCTGGGAGGGGCGGGGGCCGCGGGGGCGGCTCGGCGGAACCAGCCCGGGCCGGGGAGCAGCGGCGACTCCGGGGGCCCCGGCCAGGGCTTTCCGGGCTTCGGCGAGGCCGCCGCGGGCCCCATCTTCCGGCGGTCGCCGGAGTGTGAGGTGATTGTTGCTGCCACCGCCCTGGCTGCCATCTCCTCCTCCTGGGCCGCCGCCGCCTCCTCCTCTTCCTCCTCCTCCTGGGCCGGGCTGATCCCCTCCCCGCTGCCGCCTCCTCCTGGGCTGGGCCCACGGCGTCTCGTCCCCTCGCGGAGCCGCTCCTGCCGCCGCCGCCGCCTCCTCATTCATCCTCGTGCACCATAGGCGGCACAGGCACCAAGATGTCCAACCGAGTGGTCTGCCGGGAAGCCAGTCACGCCGGGAGCTGGTACACAGCCTCAGGTAGGGCCCCGGGCCGGCCGGCCCGCCCGCCGCCGCCGCCGCCTGGCCCCGCGCCCGCCCGGCCGAGGTCGGCGGCCCTGCCCCGCGCGGGGCGGGAGGGACCTGGGCGCGGACGGCCTCCGCCGCGGACCGCGTGGGGAGGGAGCGGACCCGAGGCCGGCGCCGCCGCCTCCCCCACCCCGGTGGCATCCCGCCGGGCAGCCCGGAGCCCGGCGCCCTCGCGCTCACCCCGGAGTTGGGCGTTTGGGAGAGTTGCCGCCCGGCCGCCTGCGCCGTCCTTCGAGACGGGGCTCAAGGGAAAAATGCGCTGCCCGTTCCCCCGACCGAGCCTGCTGTCCCCTCCCCCGGCTCCCGGGGAGCGGGCGGCCGAGCGCTGCCACCCAGGGGGGGACCGTGTGCCGTGATCCCGAGCCCCGCTCCCGCCACCTGGAGCCGGGCGACCCTCCGGCCTCCTGCGGAAGGAGGGCCGCGCTCTCCCCTCTCCGTGCCTGGGCGCCGGCGGCGCGAGACCCGGGAATTCTCCGAGTGTGTCCGCGCACACCGGCCCGAGCCCGCTGTCTGCGGAGAGGAAGTGTCTCCTTCCCTCCGGCAGTGCGCGGAGAGGCAGCGCCCCCTCCCCTTCAGAGAGCTCAGCTGTCTGGAGCGGAGCGAAGGGGAGAACTTGCCCGAGTCGCCGAACTAGAGACCAGGGCTCCGCGGGCGAGGTCCGGAGAGGAGGCCTTGGCTGGGATTTGTGCTCTGTGTTGGGGGTAGGGAGAAGTATTGCTAGGCAGAGGCTCGGGGTAGCCTCGCAGCTCTTTGTCAGTGTTTGCATTGTTACTGTCATTCGCGAGAGGGGCAGTTGGAGATGGCATCAGCGCTTTTCCCGAGCAAACTCCACGGTCTCTAGGCGCTAAACACCTAGCAGGCGCTGGAGCTCCCTAACGAATTAGATTAGGTTCTGAGCGAATTTTGTCTTCTGACCACACTGCCTAAAATCATTTTCCAGCTCTTTAAAAAAGCGTAGAGGCTTTTCCTTTAATAAAGCTCTTTTTTTAGGATGACTTTTCTGGGATTGCTTTCAGGCGTCACATTTCTGTCAACAAAGTTTCACTGTGATTTCCAATAGTTTTCAGTCATTTTTTTATCGGCTTATCAATAACTGGACCTAGTTTTAATGTGAATCGGATCATGTTTCGCTTTGCAAATAGTTCTGTTGGATAGCGACAGAGTTTGTGAGCAAACACAGATTTGGAAGAAAAGTCATTTCTCTGAGGTTGCTAAACTAGCTCTTTAAATACATGTATTTTACTAACTTACTGAAGATTTACTGTGTAAGAAGACACAAAAGAATTGTGATGATTGGATTTGCAAGCCTAACAGATAGGTGCAGCTTTGTATTAACTAAATGACATTTAATGGTTACAGTGGCTTTCCTTCATGGTTCTAGAGTACTTCTTACACATTTAATCAATTATGACAACCTTAGAATGTCAGTTAACCTTTTCTTGTTCACCGTGTAGGGATGTGCCTAGCACATACTAAGCCAGTGGCAGAGCAGGAGTCGAGAAATGGAAATCCCTGGTCCCTGGGTTTGTCTTCCAGTGAGTGCATTATCAATACTAAATTTATCAATGAATAACAGTCTTTTCAGAGTTGTAAATTACTAAGCTTTCCTCAGTGTGTTTTGAAGAGTTAAAAAGTCTCAGTATTCACTTTCATGGCCATCTTTTGTTTAATTTCTTTCGCTTTTTAAAATATCTTTCTATAAAGGTTTAAAACTTTTTTGTAGTTGGCTTCTAAATGTGGGCAAATGATTCTGGAAGAATTTTTATAGATTCTTGAACAGTCTTTGTGTAGTGAAATAAGGCTTAGTTCACACTTCAGACTTGAAAAACACTTATTCAGTAATCTCAAGTAGAGGAAGAATCCATTAATCCAGCTCACAACAGTGTGTAATTATAGCTATTTAACACTGGTGAACTAAAACAGACTGTTTTCTTAAAAATTTAAGATATATTCTCTTCCCTAAATTCTGAATGAAATCAATGCCATTTTGTTAATCCGAATTGTGACTGAGAACTTGACGTTAAAAAAAATTCAGATCAGGTGTGGATTTTGTGTATGTTTTATGTATATGTACATGTGTGTGACTTTAAATGTGAGTAATAATGAAGGGTGAATTTAAAGCAATGTAGTTGTAAAATCTTATTTTGTATTTTAAAAATTAAAAAAAAAAACAGGTAAGTTAACTTTGACTTGGTGTAGTAACTGTTATATTTAATATCCCAGTGTACCTATATTGAAAACATTGTCCGTTGGAAAAATTCTACTTTTATTATCATTGTTTCCCTAATAAACTAGTCCTAAAAACGTGTAATAGGAGAGTAATGTGCTTGTGGATTATCAGTGTGTGATTCCTGTGGCATTGGAATGGTGTCTGTGGAGTTAAAAGTGTTCAATTACTAAAACAAGGTAAGGATGAAATCACATTGGCTTCTGTAGATTGCTGGTTTAGGGAAAAAGGTGTGTGTGTATACACATATGTATGTTATATACATGTACGCATATATCTTCATTTTTATTTACCCCTTGTTATATGCTAGATCCATTGGTAGAGAGAAGTATACATTATTCCTTTCCCTGAAGAAATATACAGTTTATTTGAAATAGACTTAAGACAGCAAGTAAGTATCAGAATAATTGAGACAGTGCTTTTAGGAGGTTGAAGGAGGGTGGAATCACTTTGTTGTAGGATTTGAATTGTGCTTTGAAGGAAGGGTATTTGTGTAGGTTTGGAAAGGAGGAAAGAACATGGGGGAACACAAAGATACAGAGAAGCAGGTAAGTGTAGGTAGGTCATTTTAATAAGAATGGAAGATTTACACAGGGGTATAGTTCATCTGCCTGCTTGAAGCTAGAGTATAGAGGTCTATGAATGAATGCTATGCCTCGTAGGTATTTAGTTTCAGTAGGTAGTCAGGACTGTTGGAGAAGTTTCTGAGTAGGAGACTGATATTCAAGTAGCATTTTTGGAAAATTAATCTCATAGGAAGGCTAATCCTCACTTCTTTACGGGTGTACAGCAGGGATCAGCAAACGGCACTCACAAATCCAGCTTGCTGCCTTTAAAATAAAAATAAAGTCCACTAGGTAGGAGTGGTTTTTAATTTTTAAAGGGTTTAAAAAACAAAAACCAAGAAGTGCAATGAGACCTTATGTGCCCTAAAATCCTTTCTGTCTGGTCTTTTGCAGAAGAAATTTGCCAACCCTTAGTGTAGGTTAGTGTGTTTAAAGTATGATCGCTAGACCAGCAGCATAATATGTCTGTACTCTGTATTTTCTCCAGATTTGTGAAAGCTTTCATTTCATTATTTCTGGTCCCTTTATCTCCTTCAGGACAGTTATAACTGCCTCCTAACTGGCCTTCTTTCTGCCAGCCTTATCCCCCTTAACACGATCTTCTGCATTGCTCCCTGAATAATCTGACCACACAATTTCTTTACGTAAACCTCACTGTCTCATCTAGTCAATTGGTTAAGGTCTAACAACTCCCATCATGACTTGGCATCTTCCTATCTCTTTGGCCACTTCCCCCCACCCATTCCAGTTCTTGCCTTACTACCCTTAAGCAACATCTAGCAGCTGTTCATTGTTTCTTTAAATACTCTGTACTATTTCTTATCATTGTGCTTTTACCAAACTGTTTCCTCTGTAGGAATGCACTTTGTCAGGATAGCTCCTACTCACTTTTAAAGATTTTTTAAAGATTCAGGTGTTAACACCTCCAAGAAGCCTACCCTGATATCTTTTCTCCCCTAGACTGTTTTGGTGGTCCTTTGTGCTTCTGTAATATCCTGTGCTTATCTCTATATATTTACTTTGTAGTTTGTGTATATGGTCTTCTATAAGATGATAGACATTAAGCCAGGGATCATGTCTTCCTCATTTTCTGTACCCTAAGTAGCTGGCACAGGTTACACATAGTAGTGATTCAATAGGTATTTGAATAAATGAACGTTAGAGTGCTTGGCATACGGTACACATGGACAGAGATACTGATGTTTAAATCCTGAAGAGGAGGGGGCATAATATAGGACTGTTTCAGTTCAGTCTCTGACCATGGTATGGGCGAAGAATCTTGATGATAAGAAGGGATTAGAAATCCTGATGCATCAGTTGAACACCACATTTAATGTATGATTTTAGAAAGAAGTATGACTTACATGTTCAAACTTTTTTTCCCACAAAATAAGCACATTCACGTAATCAGCATGCAGCTCAAAAACAGCAGTATGACAATTCTCACCCTCCATACCCGTGTGCTCCTTTAATCTAACACTGTAGAAAACTTGTGTGTTTTTGAGCTCTAGGTAGAATCATATACTAACATGTCTTATTTGAGCTTCTTTTGCTCAGCATTACAATTGTGACATTAATCCACGTTGTATTGTTGTTTGTACCTTTTCATTGCTGTCCTCTATTGTGTGAATAGAACACAGTTTGTCCATTCTAGTGTAATGAACATTTGGCTGTTTTTAGTTTTGCTGCTATGAACATTTTTATTATAGTTTTTACCTGGTAAACATGCATTTTAGTATGTATACATCTTAGTGGGATTATTAGGTCATAGTTATATTTATATGCTATGTTCATTCATAATAGATTGTGTTAAAGTTTCTCACAGTGGTTTTACAAATTTATATTCCTGCCAGCAGTGTAGGAAAGTTTCAGTTTTTCTACATTTTTGTCAGCACTTAGTATTGTCAGTTTTTTAATTTTTATTTTTAGTTATTCTGGAAGGGTGTGTAGTAGTTTGCACTGTAGTTTTAATTTTATTTTCCTATGATTAAGGAAGTTGGGCACTTTTTCATATTAGGGACACCATGTTGATTGGTCACCTGGATTTCTGCTTTCGAAGTATTAAATCTTTTATTCTTTTTTTAAAAAATTATGCTGTTTACTCTTCATATGGATTTGTAGTTCTTTTCATATTCTGGATGCAGTCTTGTTAGATACAT